TCATGACTCGTGGACTTCAATTCCCAGAATTCCTGAGCCAGCATGAGGGAACTATGGTCCCCTCATGACTCACGGACTTCAACTCCCAGAATTCCTGAGCCAACATGGCTCAGCTTGGAAACCCCTCCCTTTCTCCTCAGCGTGGCTGGCTCAGGAATTCTGGGAGTTGAAGTCCACGAATCATAAAAGAGCCAAGGTTGCCTACCCCTGCTGTAGTTCATCCCACGAAGGGCTTTCCTGTGTAAAAAATGACTGGATTTCATTACAAGCAGCTTGTGTGTGTGTGTGTTTGTGTGTGTGTGTGTGTGTTTTCCTGTCTCTCCCAGACCCCTAGAACCTGTGAAAACTTCATTCAACTCTGCAAGAAGAACTACTACGATGGGACCATATTTCACCGATCAATTCGCAATTTCGTGGTGAGTATCGAACTGGAAGGCCGAAGGCATAAATGTCTGCCCGGCAAACGAAAGAGAGAAAGAGAGTTGCTGGGTCTTAATTAATGGCTGTCGTGGCGCGGTTGCTGCCATCTCCTTTGGATCAACAACCAGTATTTGAGGGGCTGCCACAAGGAAGAGGAGGGGGTCACGTTATTCTCCAAAGCACCCAGAGGGCAGGACAAGAAACAACAGTTGGAAACTGATCAAAGAGAGAAGCAACCTGGAATTAAGGAGAAAGTTCCTGACAGTGAGGACAATTAACCAGTGGAACTACTTGCCTCCAGAAATCATGGGTGTTCCATCACTGGAGGTTTTTAAGAAGAGGCTAGACAGTCACTTGTCTGAGATGGTAAAGGTTCTCCTGCTTGAGCAAGGGGCTGGACTAGAAGACCTCCAAGGTCCCTTTCTATTCTATTCTATTCTATTTTTCTATTCTTATTCTATTCTATTCCGTTCTTATTCTATTCTGTTCTATTATTCTATTCTATTTTATTCTTATTCTATTCTATTATTTCTATTTCTATTATTTCTATTTCTATTCAACTGCAGTGGACATAACCTAAGGCTTGACCTGAACAGAACCGAGAGTTGCTCGGTGTCCTTACCGCCCTCGTTGCATCGGTCATGCCATCATTGGTTCAACCTCAGAAGTTGCCTTTTCAGATAGTTGACTTTACAACCACAGCTGAACCCAACATCTCCTCTCTCTTGGACTTTGACCCACAGATTACCCTGTGAGGAAGTTTGTACCTGGAGAACTTGTGGGTTTTGCAATTATTTCCCCTTTGCCGAGTTTTTTCTCTTCCCTGTTCAGCTGCTGAAAACCTCTTTGTTGTAATTTGGTTGATCGATTACGGCAGGGCCCCAGTTAAAGGAGAAGGAAATAAAAAATAATGGTTTTCTTTTCTCCAGTGGGTTGATAAAAAATAACATCTTGAAGGATCTCAACGATAAAGCCACGGCTGTTCAGCTTCCCCCCTCCCCACCTTACACTGTCTTTCTCTTTTGATTGTCTAGATTCAAGGTGGAGACCCTACCGGGACTGGAACAGGTAAAGAATACCAGGTTTTCTTTCTTTTCTGATTCATTTTAGTTCTTTGTAGACCCTGCAGGAGGAGGAGAACCTTGCTAGTCTGTGGCAGCCAAAAATAGGAGGAATGTGCCGGCATTCTTAAATTAATCAACTAAGTTATTCCTACCTTAATAGGAAAAAAAATAATAAAAATGGGAAAGTTGAAGGTCCTGAATCCATTGACATATCTTGGATGGGAAGTTGAGGAAACATTCAGGATTTGGGGAAATGGGGGTTACTACTTAAAGCACTGGACTAAACTAGATTAGAAACAAGACACTGAGTTCTAGTCCTACCTTAGCCAGCTGGTTGACTTTGAGCCAATCACCAGGACACTATAAGTTCTAGTCCCGCCTTAGCCACAAAAGCCAGCTGGGTGGTCTTGGGCCAATCACCAGGAGGTGCTGAGTTCTAGTCCCGCCTTAGCCATGAAAGCCAGCTGGGTGGTCTTGGGCCAGTCACCAGGAGGCAGTGAGTTCTAGTCCCGCCTTAGCCACAAAAGCCAGCTGAGTGGTCTTGGGCCAATCACCAGCAGGTGCTGAGTTCTAGTCCCACCTTAGTCATAACCCACCTTGTCATAACCAAATCCAAAAATGAAATAAACCCAGAGGCCGATCCCACACCAGGTTCTGGATACAGCCATGAACCGAAACTTTGAAGAAGCAGATGGGCAGAGAGAAAGTGAGCACACATGGGCTGTATATAGATCGATCCGTGTGACTGTGAAGGTTCTGGAGATGTGCAGTGTTGGTGTGTGTCTGTTTTTTCCTGTAGGAATAATTCTAGCACAGAGTGAACATCCAGGACACTTAACTCTCTTTCCAATCTTTGCTGTTTCCAAGGGCAGGCAGTAAATGTGGACCCACGGATGAAGGGGACTGTTTTTTTTTTAATTGAATTGGCAGAGATTTCTGGCACTTGGCCACCTGCCAGCAGTAACAACAAAGCTGTTCCTTTGTCTTAGCTGTAAATTGTACAGCTGAAAATTCGGGATTTGATAAGAGATGGATTTGTGGCCTCCTTGGCGCTCTCTGAGGTTGGTGGTGTTCATGTAGGTGTTTCATCACCCAGCTAGGTAAGATCATCACTGGTAGAAGGTAGTGGGGGAGGAGGAGGAGAAGAAAGGATTGTGTGGTCCTTAGTGCTCTCTGAGGTTGATGGTTTTCTTGCAGATATTTCAGTACTAGAAGGATGTGGGTTTTGTGGAATGGAGATGATGGAAGAGGAGGAGGAGGAAAAGGATTGTGTAGTCCTTAGTGCTCTCTGAGGTTGATTGTTTTCTTGCAGATATTTCCCTACCCAACTAGGCAACGTCATCAGTACTAGAAAGATGTGGGTTTTGTGGCATGCAGGAGGAGGAGCATTGTAAATAGCTGGACCTCAGTGACAGGCAGAGCAAAGAGCTTCCCATCTCCACCATCCAGACAAGGTGCTTTTGAGAAGCTGGACATAGGACACTACAGTGGAACTTAGGAGTTGCCTTGAGGCAGCACGTTGGCTTTTACTTCCTGCCGTAAATGCTTTGCCTTCCTTTCCCTGGTCCTCCTCCTGTCCCGTGGAAGCAGGGCCGGCCTTCAGACACGTCCGTTGTTTTCCTTTCAGGCGGAGAGTCGTGCTGGGGAAAGCCGTTCAAAGACGAACTGAGGCCCAACTTGTCCCACACCGGACGAGGCGTCCTCAGCATGGCCAACACGGGGCCCAACACTAACAAGTCTCAGTTGTAAGTGGCGACTTGGCTCTTCCCGTGTCCTCGCATGCTCCCGTCAGGAAACCTGTAGAAGGAGCGAGGACTCTTCTCCAGATGGAATCTGACCTTGGGAGGTGGTCTTCTCATTATCTTCATCTGCTTGAAGTTTGCACCTTCTACTTTGACATACAAAACGCCTATCTTAGGGCATCCTTGAGAACCACCTAGAGCAGTGGTTCTCAACCTGTGGGTCGGGACCCCATTTGGGGTCGAACGACCATTTCACGGGGGTCGCCAAACAACGCAGTCCGCCATTTTTTCCCCCCTTTTCCTTAGCTGTGCTACTCCCTTTTATTCTATTGGCTTTTGAAAGCCAATAGAATAGACTCTCTTGAATAGAGTCTAATTCTATTGGCTTTCAAAAGCCAATCGGAATTGTCCAGGCTGTCTCTGCCCTGCTGAGCCCGCCAAAAGTCCCATTCTGCAAACGGTGCTGCACCAGTTGAGTAGTCCTCGACTTATGACCGGTTGGGGGAGGTCGCGGCATTAAAAAGGTTGAGAACCACTGACCTAGAAGATTTTTTTTAAAAAAACAACAACAACCACCACCATACTAATGAATCCTTTGAAGAGCGTATTTGTAGCTCAGCCTTGAATTGGGGTATCCTTGATGCTCTGGTTGTTTTCTTGCAGACGTTTCATGACCCAGCTAGGTAACATCATCAGTGTTAGAAAGGAGGAGAAGGAGGAGGTGGAAGATGACAACTGTGGGATCCTTGGTGCACTGTGAGCTTGGTTGTTTTCTTGCAGACGTTTCACAACCCAATTAGGTCATCAGTGCAAAAGCTGAGGACTCTTCTGCTGAGGAGCACTGATGACGTTACCTAGTTGGGTCATGAAATGTCTGCCAGCAAGCTCAGAGAACACCCAGGACCCCACAGTTCAACAGGTAACTGGACGATTGCTGCAAAGCAAAATTCATCGCGGACAGTCCCCAGCTTACAACTGTAATGGAGCTTGCCTGTTACGGTCGTAAGTTATGATGATCGTAAAGCGGGTCAGCCGTGTGACCCATCCAATTTTACAACCACGTTCGCCCCAATCATTAAAACACCACAGTCACCAAGCCAACAATTGTTCCCTGTGGACCACACAAAACGGTTACCATCCAGTTTTGCCGAAAACTGGAAATAAATGCTGTCTTGGGCGGAAGACGTCATAAAATGCAGCCATATGACCTTGCAGCGGCTATGCTATAAATGCCGGCCACTCGCTAAATGCCCAAAATGGGGTCACATGACTGTGGATGGGGCAAGCATCATAAATAGCCCCAGGGAGATCTATTATACCGTATTTTCCCCCAAAATAAGACCGGGTCTTATATTAATTTTTGCTCCAAAAGGCACATTAGGGCTTATGTTCCAGTTAGGTCTTATTTTGGGGGAAATACTAAATGCGTCCATCTGGCTGATGATCTTAACTGGGGCTTATATTACGAGCATCCTGAAAAGTCTATTTTCCAATTAGATCTTATTTTGGGGGAAAAAACCGGGTAATTTTGAACATATTTTGTCATAAACTGAGGATACCTACAGTTCCCGCAGAGGCCTTTGGCTTCCTCCGATGTTTCTTCAATCTGTAAAACTACAGACTCCCGGGAATGCTGTAAATTAAATCTGAATTTAAATTTAATCAACCCAGCCGGGGCATCTGTAATTGGATTTGAGAAGCCACCGATTACAGAGGCCAGCTCTGGGATTACAAATGACCCGATCCTCGTTTTTAGAATGTTTATGTTGTTGGGTTTTTTTTTCCAATTTCATCTGGAAAGGTTGAAGCTTCATTCCTGTGCCGTTCACTCTGCTCAGATAGGTCTGCCCTTCAAACTGGAGACCGTTTGTCTGAGACAAGTCACAGCTATTTGTGTTGTTGTGATGCACTTGTTTTGGGGAAGCTCTTGACGTGTTCGTTTCGTGACATGCTTCTTTCTCTCCTTCCTACCAGCTTCATTACTTTCCGCTCCTGTGCCTACCTGGATAAGAAGCACACCATATTTGGAAGGTAAACAAAGACATTTCTCTACATCGTAGCCAGCATTTCATAATTGCCTTAAGAGCAGTCTTATAGCAACCAGTTTATTTAAAAAAAGAAAAGGAAAAATGACCGGAGAAAAGATGGACTTGCAAGCATCCTCAGTATAAAAGAGCTCAAATTCACGCACCTGCTCACCAGCGCAGCCCAAGCTAATAAATGCTCCGATTGTTTGATAAGGGATTCTTTAGAAACCGCTGCTCTGCCGTATATAAATAAAAAGCTTTCCTTGTTTTGTTTCCACTGGAGCCAGGCTTGAAAGATCTAAAAGCAGACATTCATAATTTGAGCCTTCAGCCTGTCATGGCCAAGGGTCATTCTTCATTTCCATCAGAATTTCAGCCTTGCAAAAATGAAAAAAAAAAAAAAAGCCAAACTTTTGGTTAGAGCCTACATCTCAACATGGGGCCTTTTCTTAGCTGGTCATCTTATTGCTGGTGAGATAGCCCTTATTACAGTCACCGATAAGAATATATGTAGCTCAGGGCTGAACTGTGGGATCCCTGGTGTTCTCTGAGGTTGTTTGTTTTTTTGCAGACATTTCATTGCCCAAACTAAGTAACATCGTCAGTGCTAGAAGGGAGTGGAATTTATGGAGAAGAGGAAGGAAGGAAGGAAGGAAGGAAGGAAGGAAGGAAGGAAGGAAGGAAGGAAGGAAGGAAGGAAGGAAGGAAGGAAGGAAGGACCATTGGATCCTTGGTGCTCTCTGAGCTTGGTGGTTTTCTTGCAGACATTTCATTACCCAACTAGGTAACATCATCAGTGCTAGAAGGGAGTAGAATTTATGGAGAGGAAGGAAGGAAGGAAGGAAGGAAGGAAGGAAGGAAGGAAGGAAGGAAGGAAGGAAGGAAGGAAGGAAGGACTGACTATGAGGTTCTAGGTGTTCTCTGAGCTTGTTTTCTTGCAGACATTTAATGCCCAAACTAGAAAAAAAAAGCGAAGAAAAACTGCGTGTTTTTCTTCGCTTTTGATTAGTTCAGATGGAAACCCAGTCTGTTCTTTTTTAAAAATAATAATAATAATAATAATAATAATAACAATGATGATGATGATGATGAAATAAGCTCCATTCAGAATTGTAGGAAGCACACTGGCGCAAAGAAAAGAAGGGAGCATTTCCCAGTCTGCAGCATGTGGTGGTCCAACTGTTTGGAGTGATCTCAAGGCCTAATTAGAGACACGCGCACACACACACACCCTCCACAAGAAAGAAGACACTCAAGTTAATTGCGAGGGGAACGTAGGAGCGTTGAAGGCAGAGTGCCTTCCAGGGGCAATTAACAGGGTCACCTGGGGTTTGAATCTTCAACACGGGAAGCGGCTGTCTGGGAAAGAACGGGGTGACTGCGGCTTTTCTAAGCTTTTGGGGAAGTCGTTTGCGTTGACAGCTGGTCTGAAAAGTGCCACCCCCTCCCAGGTTTAAAAGCAAAGAGAATGAATCCTGCTCTCATTGGGCTCTAAGGGAACCTTGGAGGTCTTCTAGTCCCACCCCTGCTCAAGGCAGGAGGAGTCTTCAAACTTGGCCCTTTTACGATTCGTGGACTTCAACTCCCAGAATTCCACATGCCCAAGTTTGAAGACCCCTGCCTTACCCCAACCCAGTCACAGGGTGGAGGATGACGGGATTTCTAGTATATCCTCCACCACCCAGTCAGAACTGGGGAAGCTTCTTGGATGAGAAGCGAAACGTCTTCAAAGACAAGCCAAAGTCCAAATTGCCTCTTGAAAAAAAAAGCCCCTTTGGGACTTCCCTGACTCTGGCTGGGTTTCCTTTACCTTTCCCCAGAGTGGTCGGCGGCTTTGAGACCCTCACGGCGATGGAGAACGTGGAGAGCGACCCCAAGACGGACCGTCCCAAGGTCAGTTGTCTTTGAGCCAAGATCCAACCGACGCAGGCTCAACCCTGGGTTGGGCAGGGCTACGATTTCGACTTTGCCCCAAGGGACCACAAGAAGCCTGTGGGAAAAAAATGTTTTATTTTCCCGTTCTCTCTCTCTCTCTCCCTTTTTTTTTTCTTCTTCAAGGAGGAAATAAAAATCAACTCCACAACGGTTTTTGTCGATCCGTACGAAGAGGCAGATGCCCAGGTGAGAGGGAGGAACATCAAGTTACCTATCAAAAGAATTTGGGGAGAAAATTGACATGTGGCCTTCACACTCTCTCTCTCTCTCTCTCTCTCTTTCTCTCTCTCTCTCTCTCTCTCTCTCTCTCTCTCTCTCTCTCATGTATTAGTTTTGTTGGGCTGGTGGGAAAGACAGAAATACTTTGATTTTTGTACAAGAACCTTCCTTCCTTCCTCTCTTCTCCCCATTTTTTTTTCTCCTTTTTTGACCTTTTTTCCCCTTCCTTTTTTCCTTTCTTTCTTCCCCTCCCTCCCTCCCTTTCTTCCCCTCTCCCTTTTCTCTCCTTCCTTCCTCCCTTCTTCTCTTCTCCCCATTTTTCTTTCTCCTTTTTTGACCTTTTTCCCTTCTTTTCCTCTTCCTCTTCTTTCTTTGTTTCTTCTTTCCCTCCCTCCCTTTCTCCTTTCTCCCCCCCTCCCTTTTCTCTCCTTCCTTTCCTCCTTTCCTCGCTTCCTCTTTTCTCCCCATTTTTCTTTCTCCTTTTTTGCCCTTTTTCCTTCCTGTTTTCCTCTTCCTTTTTTCTCTTTTTTCGCTCCCTTCCTTTCTTCCCCCCTCCCTTCTTCCTTCCTTCCCTCCCTCCCTCCCTCTGCTCATCCCCAAAATCAGAAGTGTCTACCTATTCTCTCCAAAGCCATCAGCCAGAGTGGCCACCCAGAATACCGGTAAGTCCTCATTTTAACGACCACAATAGCAACCTCCTTTGCTAGGAGTTGTGTCTTTTTGTGGTTATTGCCATGTCCTACATCGGCTTTTTTCCTCAAAAATGAGGAAGCAACACAGGGGAAGAAAGATCTTTCTTTTCTCCTTCTTTCCCCCCTTCCTCCATCTCCCTTCTCCCCATTTTTCTTTCTCCTTTCTTCCCCTCTACTCTTTTCTTTCCTTCCTTTTTCCTCCCTCTTCTTCCCTTTTATTTTTCCTTCCTTCTTTCCCTCCCTCCCTTCCTCGCTTCCTCTTTTCTCCCCATTTTTCTTTCTCCTTTCTTCCCCTCTACTCTTTTCTTTACTTCCTTTTTCCTCCCTCTTCTTCCCTTTTATTTTTCCTTCCTTCTTTCCCTCCCTCCCTTTCCTCCCTTCCTCGCTTCCTCTTTTCTCCCCATTTTTCTTTCTCCTTTCCTTCCCCTCTACTCTTTTCTTTCCTTCCTTTTCTCCTTCTTCCCTTTTATTTTTCTTTCCTTCTTTCCCTCCCTCCCTCCCTCCCTTCCTTTCCTCCCTTCCTCGCTTCTTCTTTTCTCCCCGTTTTTCTTTCTCCTTTCTTCCCCTCTACTCTTTTCTTTCCTTCCTTTCCCCCCCCCCCTCTTCTTCCCTCTTTTATTTTTCTTTCCCTCCCTCCCTCCCTCCCTCTGCTCATCTCAGCCAGTGACTCTGGGCACCTCATCCTTCTAAAACCATAAATACTTTGTGCAGCTGTTGCCCATCTCACGTTTTCAGCCCAGCAGTGCTCTGTGGCCTGTTGAAAGCCTCTTTTTCTGGGATTTTTGGGAAGATTGACCCGGCTCCCTTCACTTTCTCCAAGGTGGCGAAAGAAAGAGAGAAGGCTCAGCTGGAAGAGGAGGCAATGAAGGCCCAAAGCAAAGACATCCCAAAGAAGGAGCCTCCCACACCAAAAACGTACCGCCCAGGAGTTGGGAAATACATTAATATAGCAGCGGCGTAAGTTGTATTTTACCTTTTGTTGAGTTTCTAGGTTCTATTCTATAGGGAGATAAAGCGGTACCACGTGTGCATGGGACGAGGAAAAAAAAACCTCTGCCAGTTGATCCTATGGAAGCTGTGCAAAGACTTTTTTTTTTTTTTTTTGTCTTCAATTGTCTTCTCTTCAGTTCAACCCCCCCCCTCCCAGGAAAGCACCTTAGTGCCAGTTAGATGAGTGGATGACCAGATAGCTTAAGGGGAATGGTTCCCGCTTCTCTTGACCTCTATTTAAAACGACGTTAGAACTTTCCACACTTCGCTTTTTTTAATTTTCCCAAATTGGTTCCTCTGAAAGACAAGGTGGAAAGACTGACTTAATGATTAAAGTGAGGGGAAAAATTCAGTCGATTTGTGCTACCTGCCTTCATCCTTGTCTCCTTGTAAATTTCTACTCCTCCGTTCCATTCTTTTTGGAAAACTTTAAGCCAGGGTTTGTTTGTAGCATGACCTTAAGCCAGGGTCTGTTTCTAGCATGACTTTAAGCCAGGGTTTGTTTCTAGCATGAATTTAAGCCAGGGTCTGCTTGTAGTGTGATCTTAAGCCAGGGTCTGCTTGTAGCGTGACCGTAAGCCAGAGACTGCTTGTAGCGTGACCTTAAGCCAGGGCCTGTTTGTAGGAGAGGGGTGTGTGTGTGACTTGTGCATTTTGTGACGCAGGAAGCGAGCCGCAGAAGACGGGCCGTCCACCAGCATGGTCAGCAAGAAGGAGAAGAAAACGGGCGGCTTTGGAGATTTCAGCTCCTGGTAGCCCACGGCGGGGGGACCAGCTTTGTGCCTCTACTGGTGTCACACACACACACAAACAATGACTCTTTACCCTAATCTTTCCCTTAATAAAGTTCCTCTGGCAGCCCTTTGTCGGTTGTCTGGGGCTTTGGCCAAAGACAAGACTTCTCCCTGGCGGCTTGCAACACACAAAGATCTGCAGATGTTAACGGCGGGCGACCTGAGCAGAAGAAAGAAGGAGAGAACTGCCATTTCACAAGTGGAGTGGCTGATGGACGAATTGGGAAGGAGGAGGCTGTGTGGATGGTGGGCCACACGCCTTGCTAAGATGGGCCTCCTGGCCCCCCATTTTGAACAGCTGCCCAGACACTCTTGAAAGACACACTTCATCTCTGCCACCCAGTGACGTCCGGCCTAGAAATTCCAAGCCAACATCTTTGTACAGAGGAGGTGATGGATAGAGATCCTCAACTGTGGTTTAGTGAGAATTCTGCTTCCGTATCTACTTAATGCCGCAGCTCTGCTCCAGGGTCCCTTAGCTGCTCAAGAGCTGCTGGTCCATCTTCTCTTTGAGGGCTAGCCCTAAAACAGGGCCTGTCAACCTTTTCACCCATTGTACCACTTTGAGGGCAAGGCAATATCCGAGTCCCACCAGTTGTCGAGAAAGCTGTCAAAAACTTGATGCCCCCCCCACCCCAGAAAAGGAAAAAAAAAATGATAAAGTACAGGCAGTCCTCGACTTACAACAATTTGCTTAGGGACTGTTCGAAGTTACAACGGCACTGGAAAAAGGGACTTACGACCATGTTTCATACTTACGACCGCTGCAGCACCCCCAGGGTCCTGTGATTGACAATTTGGATGCTTGGCCACTGATTCATACTTATGACGGTCAGTGTCCCAGGGTCGCGTGATCACCTTTTGCAACTTTTTGACAAGTGAAGTCAATGGCGGAGGCGTGGCCAGCTCGTCACTCAGGTTGGGGGGTGCCTGTGGGAGGGGGGTGCGAGCGGGGATGTGGGGGGGGATCGGTGGGACTGGGGTGGGCACCTTCCTTCTCTCCCTCCCTTCCTCTTTATCCCTTCCTTCCATCCATCCTTTGATATTTCCTCCCACCTTCCCCTTGTTTTTTTTCTTGATCCTTCCTTCTTTCCTTCCCTCTCATTGGCCCTCTCAACACCCACAACCTCTGGAGGCAATTTAAATTTAAAACCTTTAAAATACACACACACACACACACACTTGCTGGCGACTAGCTTTAGCATCAGTCAGGCATGCAGAGGGAGATGGGGGTAGAGTTTACAGAATTGTCAGCTTGCAACAGCAACTGAAATGAAAAGGACCTTGAGGTCATCTAGTCCGACCCCCTGCTCTCACAAAGAGAGTAGTATACAGTATTTCTGATAAATGCCTGTCCAATTTCTTCTTAAAAGCCTCCCGGGAGGGAACACCCACAACTTCTGGAGGCAATTTAAATTTGAAACCTTAAAAAAAAAAAAAAAAACTCCCCCTGATCAGCACAAGCCTCCAAGCAAAATCCAAAATGGGGGATTTCCTTCCAGTAAGGCAGGGACCTTCCAACTTGGCCCTTTTATGACTTGTGGACTTCAACTCTTCAATGCTGGAAGTTGACGTCCACAAGTCATACAAGGGCCACGTTGGAAGCCCCCTGCAGTTAAGGGGTCTGCAGAATCTCCGCTGGGTCTGCGCCAGGGACAGGAGGAGGCAGCAGCAGCCACAGACTACCAATGTCAGGCAGATGCAAACAAACCATCTTGCAAAGCGCTGCGCTTACCAACACAACAGGAAGCAGAGCAGTTCCCAAAGGGATTGCAAAGGACAGAAGTCCAATTCCAGAGAGTAACAAACAAGAATATGTTAAAATACTTGCAGAAGTAATTCTAGCTCTCTAGTCCTCAAGGCCAGCAAGCACCAGGTCTCCCAGGCAGCTCTAGGAAAGCAAAAGCAAAAGAGATCTTGCAAAACTCAGCCAATCTGCTTCCGCCACGTGACCAGACACCGGAAAAAAATAACCCTCCACTTCCGGCTTCTCTCCGAGCCACGTGGCTGCAGAGGCGCTTTTGGTGGCGGTTTTGCACGTGTAACAGTGAGTAGCCTTTGTGAATGAGTCCGTTTTGGGGAACACTGGCTAAATAAACGTTCATACCTGGGGGGGATTAAGTGTACATAGCCATTTGTGGTAAAATTAAGAATTAAGTCCCACTTGAATAACTGCCCCCTGCTTTTAATTAAACGGCCAGTTGCACGTCCGTTGCATTTAAACATGGAGACCTTGTTGAAGAGCCACTGATGGACTCCTTGGCTCCCTTTTTTTCCAGGCACCCAGTGGAAAGGCTTTTTAAATAAAATACAATAAAATAAACTCCTAGGGTTTTACTTTGCGGTTGTTCCAATTTACTGCGCACTTGAATAACCGCACCTGCTTTTAATTAAACGGCCAGTTGCATTTAAACACGGAGACCATTTTGAAGAGCCATTGATGGACTCTGTGGCTCCCTTTTTTTTCCAGGTACCCAATGGAAAGGTTTTTTATAATAATAATAATAAACTCCTAGGGTTTTACTTTCGTTCCAATTTACTGTGCACCCTGCTTTTAATTAAACAGCCAGTTGCATGTCCGCTGTATTTAAACATGGCGACCATTTTGAAGAGCCACTGAAGGACTCTGGGGCTCCCTTTTTTTTCCAGGCACCCATTATAAAGGTTTTTTTTAAAATAAAATAAAATAAACTCCTAGGGTTTTACTTTGCATTTGTTCCAATTTACTGTGCACTTGAGTAACTGCACCTGCTTTTAATTAAACAGCCAGTTGCATTTAAACATGGAGACCTTGTTGAAGAGCCACTGAAGGACTCTGTGGCTCCCTTTTTTTTCCAGGCACCCAGTGGAAAGGTTTTTTTTTTAAAATAAAATACACTCCTAGGGTTTTCTTCTCAGATTGGCCGGGCAAGGTGAACCAGCAACATGCTGAACCTTTCTGTGGGCGCACAGAGGCAGAGGAAGCGCATTGAGACCAGCTCTTACAGCATCTTGAAAGCCGGGTGTTTTCTCTCCCTTCCTTTCATGCCAAGGGTAGCCTAGTTGAATTTCATTTTGACGTGGTCTTGTTTCTTGAGCTGACCTCCCATTTTGCTAACCATCTCTATCTTCCCCAAGGTCAACCTTATGTTGGTCTATTGCAGGGCTAGGCAACCTTGGCTCTTTGATGACTCGTGGACTTCAACTCCCAGAATTCCCGAGCCAGCCATGTTGAGGGGAAAGGGAAAGCTTCCAAGCTGAGCCATGCTGGCTCAGGAATTCTGGGAGTTGAAGTCCACGAGTCATACAAGAGCCAAGGTTGCCTACCCCTGGCCTATTGCCATTTCTCTTTCAAATGGCTGGGATTTTATATTTGATTGGGTTGTCCTCCATAGGGGATTAAGCATTCTAAGATACCACACCTTCACACAACTGGCTTGCTATACAAAGGATATTGCTTGGAAGCAACATGAATTTCTTGCACGTAGGACCATCACCCAGGTCCTTGGGTTGGCTCTGAGGATGCACTGAGGACTTTCTAAGATGTGTGTCTTTCCACTCTGGCTTTCAGTGCCACAATCATAAAGGTTGGGTAGCTGTGCCACAACACGGGCCAACTTTAGAAACAACTACACGGAGCATTTCAGAAGATGGAGATCCCCCAAGTAATATTGGAAAACCTGAGGAGGAGAAACGACAAAGAGCTTGGCTAAGGTCTTTGGTGCCTTCAAGGGGGATTCATCTTGATCCTCATGTCAGCTTCTTTCATTCACTAATCTTTGTCAAGAGCAGATAGAAGAAAATTAGAGATGGGGCCAAACATAGATTTCCAGATGCTGTTGGACCACAGCCCCCAGCATCCCTTACTCTGACCTGAGGCTGCTGGGAGTTGTAGTTTAGCAACATCCGGACAGGTTTTCTGCCTCTGCTACTATTTTGTTCTTCGTATTCATTGTCTATCATCTATCTATCTATCTTATCTATCCATCCATCTCTATTTCATCTCTATCTTTATCCACCTTTTCTCTCTTTCATCTCTGTACCTCTCTTTTGTCTATATCTTCACATTTTATATCTCTTTATCTCATCTATATTTCACCTGCTTATCCATTGGTCTATCCATCGCTCTATATCTCTTCTCTTTCATCTCTCCCTCGCTCTCTTTTTCCCTCCCTGCAATATCTTTTTTTGCTTGTAATCCATGGAGAAAGGTGGGAGTATCACATGAATCATAAATAGAAAAAACACTTTTTGTAACATAACTGCTGCTAAAAGTGAAATGAATGCAGTAGAGCCATAATATTCCCACTCGAGTTACTCGTCGTGTGATATCTCACTGGTTGAATAATTTAAGAGACGTAGTAGTTATCCAGTATGTTGAGTTTTCTTTCTCTCTCCTTGCCTCTTTTTCCTCATGTCGTGTCATCCTGACTATAAATGTACAGGCCAAATGGTATAAAAAAGACTTTTGCGGAAATATTAGCAACTTTATTAATAAAAGTTAACAGTACAATCCTTCATGCAGCCTATGTAAAAAACAGGCAGGCTTTGACTTTTTTTGTGACTTTTTTTCCCCCTTCCAAGTGCCCCCTGGAGTCTTGTGTAAAGAGAAAAAAAATACAGCCTCTTTTATCTCTTTTTCTAATTAATAAATATAAAAAAAGCACCAAATTCTAAAGGGACAAGCTAAAAAAAAGAAATGAAAACATGCAGGATATATATTTACAGAACCGGGAGTGATGATTCATTACAGACATTCATAGCTAATCTATATTCATTAATTGTGCAAACCACAGAATAGTTGCAGCCATATGTTTGTCTTTCCCGGCCTGGCCTTGTGGCTTCTCAAGCATAGGAGCCAGAACGGAAGATGGGAATCCCAACTATCTTCAGCTCTGTAGGAGTAGACAACCCTGGTGCCTGTTTGCTTAGTGGACTATTTCATTTCAATTTGAAATTGGAGAAAGGTGTTATGAACGTTACAAGGGTGGTAGGGTTAGGTTAGCTGGCCCAAGGAAAGCAGAAAAGAGTCCTCCTTAAGGGAGGAGGGCAAAGGGTTCACAAGAGGAAGCCACCCCATGCAGGACCAAGCAAAGTCCATGCATCCCCTTTGGAGTGAATCTCTCTCCCACCAGCTATTTTTTGGGGAAAATCTAAGGCCAAGTCAACTGTGAGTCATTCTGGAATGTAACATTTGCTCCTTTCTGAAGTACCACTGAAAATTTGCAAGATCAGAAATTGTCTTCTCCTCTAACTCTGTTTTTTTCTTTCCTTCCAATGCCAGATATAAAAAGGAATCGACAGACCAAGATGCCCGTCCACTTCCTGACGCTGGAACCCATGGCGCTCTGCTACTGACGACGGCGGAGTAGCTGCAACCGGGTGGTGGGAGGCTTTGGAGATGGCTGAGCTTCTTTGGGTGGGTGGGAGGGCCACATGTCTCTTGGAGCAACTGCCAAGATCCACGAAGTTCAGACTCATCTGGACCAGCCACATGGATTCCCGTCTTGAGTTGAAGGCCAACCTTCCAGTGTCCAGTAAAAGGACCGCTGCGTTGATGCAATGTTGTTGTGTTTGATATATTTGTGCAGTTGTTATGTGTTTTACTTCTAGCTTCCTGGGCTGTTATAAATCCCCAAACACCAAAAGGACCCTCCCTCCACATTATGAGGGGGGGTGCCATTATAAAGGGGTGCCCATGGTAAGCTAGCTTTCGGGGCGAATGGCTATATATATTACAGGTAGTCCTTGACTTAATGGCCACATTTGAGTCCAGAGCTTCTGTTGCTAAGCAAGGCATTTTGTTAAGTGAGTTTTGCTCAATTTAATGACTTTTCTTGCTACATTTGTTAACTGCAAATGTTGAGTTAGTTACATAGTTCTTAAGCGAATGTCGCTTCCCCATTGACTTCGCTTGTCAGGTCACAAAATGCAATCACCTGACCCCAGGACACTGTAACCGTCATAAGTACAAGTCAGTTGTTAAGCTTCTGACCTTTAATCACATGCCACGAGGATGTTGCAATTATAAGCTGTTATACCTTCAAATTGTCACTAAATGAACTGTTTTAACTCAAGGGCTACCTATACCAGCTTTTATGTAGTAATATATATAGGCATTCTTCTATGTACATATTAGCATTTCTTCAGATAGTTCTATTTACTAAAATGCTAATATGCACATATATGTGTATATATATAGATCCACACAGAGAGACATAATTTGTCTATTCCTGGAATAAACTAGTTATGCCAACAAGTCTCTGCATGTGTATATATGTATATATACATGCCCCAACGTTTCGCTTCTCATCCAAGAAGCTTCTTCAGTTCTGGCTGAATGGTGGGGAATGGAACGATTTATATTCTTTGCAGTCATCTGGTCCTTAGTACCCCAAAGGTAAGTCGTTAGCTCTCTGAGGGCCGTTGAGGCCACTTGGGGGTTTATCTGTATCCTCGGGGTCACCCGGACCAGTGTGGAGATGGGCCTGGGACCTTCTTGGGACGGCTGCAAGGACCGTGTTGGAGACAGGAGGTAAGTGGTGTCGTATCCCTCCCCCTCTGTCGAGAGAGGCCTGTTCGATTTTAACACAGATGGCCTCTTTGACCCCTCTTTCAAACCAGCGGTCCTCTCTATCCAGAACGTGGACTTTGCTGTCTTCGAAAGAGTGGCCTTTGTCTTTCAAATGCAGATGGAGCGCTAAACTTTGTCCTGGTGGAGTTGTTCTCCTAGGTTGTGCCATGCAATTGTGGTTTGTTTTGTTTCTCCAATGTAGAGATCTGTACATGTCTCACCACATTCTACTGCACATACTGCATTGCTCAGTTTGTGAGTGTTTTATCCTTGGGGTGGACAAGCTTCTGCCTTAGTGCAGAGTTTCTCAATCTTGGCAACTATTAAGATGTGTGAACTTCAGCTCCCAGAGTTCCTGAGTGAGCATTCCGGCTGAGGAATTCTGGGAGCCAAAGTCCACACATCTTAAAAGTTGTCAAGGTTTTGAGAAACATTGCCTTCCCAATCTTGGCAACTTTTAAGATGTGTGAACTTCAGCTCCCAGAATTCCTGAGTGAGCATTCTGGCTGAGGAATTCTGGGAGCTGAAGTCCACACATCTTAAAAGTTGTCAAGGTTTTGAGAAACATTGCCTTCTCAATCTTGGCAACTTTTAAGATGTGTGAACTTCAGCTCCCAGAATTCCTGAGTGAGCATTCTGGCTGAGGAATTCTGGGAGCTGAAGTCCACACATCTTAAAAGTTGTCAAGGTTTTGAGAAACATTGCCTTCTCAATCTTGGCAACTATTAAGATGTGTGAACTTCAGCTCCCAGAATTCCTGAGTAAGCGTGCTGGCTGAGGAGTTCTGGGAGCCGAAGTCCACACATCTTAAAAGTTGTCAAGATTTTGAGAAACATTGCCTTCTCAATCTTGGCAACTTTTAAGATGTGTGAACTTCAGCTCCCAGAATTCCTGAGTGAGCATTCTGGCTGAGGAATTCTGGGAGCTGAAGTGCACACATCTTAAAAGTTGTCAAGATTTTGAGAAACATTGCCTTCTCAATCTTGGCAACTTTTAAGATGTGTGAACTTCAGCTCCCAGAATTCCTGAGTAAGCATTCTGGCTGAGGAATTCTGGGAGCCGAAGTCCACACATCTTAAAAGTTGTCAAGGTTTTGAGAAACATTGCCTTCTCAATCTTGGCAACTTTTAAGATGTGTGAACTTCAGCTCCCAGAATTCCTGAGTGAGCATTCTGGCTGAGGAATTCTGGGAGCTGAAGTCACACATCTTAAAAGTTGTCAAGGTTTTGAGAAACATTGCCTTCTCAATCTTGGCAACTTTTAAGATGTGTGAACTTCAGCTCCCAGAATTCCTGAGCATTCTGGCTGAGGAATTCTGGGAGCTGAAGTCCACACATCTTAAAAGTTGTCAAGGTTTTGAGAAACATTGCCTTCTCAATCTTGGCAACTTTTAAGATGTGTGAACTTCAGCTCCCAGAATTCCTGAGTGAGCATTCTGGCTGAGGAATTCTGGGAGCCAAAGTCCACACATCTTAAAAGTTGTCAAG